ATATTTATAATGCTGAAACAAATAGAACAAAGTTTTAGATAATTCTTCCATTTATTATTAATAATTTTGCCCTTGAAAACACTTCTATTTTGAAATTGACTTTGAGAATTGCACACTAGTTCTAAAGACACAATAATAGTGTCATATTTGTCTTTTGTAGTACATTAGGCTTTACAAAGTGGTCACTTTGATTATCTTCTTCCATTGGTGTTGTGGCAGTGAATGGTTAAAAGGAAAGGGACTTGGGGTCCCTGGCTGGCTCAGTCAGTTAACCATCAGACTTCAGTTCGGGTCATGATCTCGAGGTCCATGGGTTTGAGCCCCGCGTCGGGCTCTGTGCTGACAGCTCAGAGCCTGGGGCCTGCTTCAGATTCTGTGTCTCCCTCTCCCTCTGCCCCTCCCCAGCTTGCACTCGGTCTCTCTCCCTCTCAAAAATAAATAAACATACAAAAAAATTCTTAAGATAAAACTGAGGCTTGATGGGTTAAAGCCACATAAATAGCAAATGTTAAAGCTAGGATTTGAGGGGCACCTGGGTGGCTTAGTCTGTTGAATGTCTGACTTTGGCTCAGGTCATGATCTCACAGTTTGTGAGTTTGAGCCCCACATCAGGCTCTCTGCTGTTAGCGTGCAGCCTGCTTCAGATCCTCTGTCTCTCTCCCCCTCCCACTCAAGCTCACTCTCTCTCTCAAAAATTAATAAAACATTTAAGAAAGAAAGAAAATGGACTTTGGAGTCAAGAAAATGTGGTTTCAAATCCCAGCTTTTTAAAATTTTTTGTTTTTTAATGTTTTTATTCATATTTTGAGAGATGGAGACAGAGCACAAGTGGGGGAGGCAGAAAGGGAAGAAGATACAGAATCTGAAGCAGACTCCAGGCTCTGAGCTGTTAGCACAGAGCCCGATGCAGGGCTTGAACTGACAAACCTCAAGATCATGACCTGAGCTGAAGTTGGCTGCTTAACCAACTGAGCCACCCAGGCGCTCCTCAAATCCCAGCTTTAACATTTGCTATTTATCTGGCTTTAACCCAGCAAGCCTCAGTTTTATCTTCTGCAAAATGGGTATATACATACTCTCCCTCATGACCCCAGAACCTACTGGGCAATGAATAAATGGCAGCTGCTATTATTTTGTTACTTTTATTATGATCACTTTTGATCCATCTGGTGTGACTGAGGAAAGACATGAACAAATAAGCTTGGTCACCACCTGCCTGTCTCCACAGGACCAGAAGCAGGAGGTGTCTGAAAACTACAGCAACAAACAAAGCAAAAGCAAAAACAAAACAAAGACAGACAAACAATAAAACACACATACATGCAAAAAAAACCAAGTTTAGGCACTAATATTGGCTCTCCAGGGTTACCATCTTGGTTTCCTCATTTGGATTAGAGCATTAAATCCCAAACCTGCCTGACCCAGAATCACCAGTGGGAATTGGGGAAGGGGAGGGGAGGGGAGGGGAGGGGAGGGAAGGGAAGGGGAGGGAAGGGAAGGGGAGGGGAGGGAAGGGAAGGGGAGGGGAGGGAAGGGAAGGGAAGGGAAGGGAAGGGGAGGGAGGAAGGGAGGAGCACACGGCTGGACTGCGGGCGCGGGACACGGACAGGCCANAGGGAAGGGAAGGGAAGGGAAGGGAAGGGAAGGGAAGGGAAGGGAAGGGAAGGGAAGGGAAGATACACACATAAATTTCTGGACTCATCCATGAAGATTTTACTTTGGCTCACCTAGGTTAAGACTCCAAAGTATCCCTGTGTATTGAATTCCCTAGGTATACATAATCATCAGTCAAGTGCTGACCGCTGGAATAGACGACTTCCAAGGGCAAGCCCCTAGCCTTTTTGAGTTACTATTGGGTTGTCGAGCCTGTTTTGAAGAACAACTTATTTCCATGCTGACGGCATTTCCTTCTCTAGTAGAGGTTCCCCCCCTCCCATTTTTATCAGTCTCTAGGGAGAAGTAGCACTCAGGTAGAAGGCTATTCTGAAACTCCTTTAGAAGTTGTTGAAAAACATAAAATGTAGATGAGGGGAGAGCATCTTAGAGGCTGGTACTTTAATAACAGTTGCACAAATCCCATGGAAGAATAAAGCCATAGGAACTTTCCTCTTCGTATTTTAAGCTTTTGGCTCAGTTCCTTGTAAGATCTCACTCGAAGGACCGCCTTGGTTTCAGTGGGGAATGATGACATCGATGAATCACCATGTGCTTTCCAGGCATTCGCTGGGTCTGCAACTGTGTCTGGAAAGGGCACGGAGAGGTGGGCTCAGGGATGAGCAGGAGGAACGGCACTCAGACAGGCACTGGTGTTATGCTGGGGTCAGACTCCAGGATGCAACAACCCAGATGAGGAAGTGGGGGATGTGGGATTGTTATCGACTTTACTCTGCTAAAAAGTCCTACCGTCTAGGACATCCTGTTTACATTCATGGGAGGAGATAGACTGCCTACAGGCAAAGAATCCTGGAGCTAGGAATCCGCTGGAGGCTATAAACATTTCTGCAGCACCTTTCAGGAAAAAGAATATGCATTAAGGCAGACCTTAAACATATTATGCGGCCGCCCCCCTCGCCAATACTCCCTGCGGGCAGCATACCACGTCTAGAGTTAGGCTCACACAAATTAAGATCAGTAATTCTTCCAGGAAGCCTGTTTTCATCACAGAAGCATCAGAGAATCAGAAAGACAACAGGAAATTTTAGGCATCGCTGTGGTATCACAAGGGCCTGGGATTCTGCATCGGGTTTTAAAAGTCCTTTTGCTCTACTTGTATATACATTTTTATAAGGAGGAAATATACCTTAAGATGATTCCTTAATTTTGAGAAAATTGACAAATATGTTTGTCACAGTTTGAGTCAATTACAGCAAGTTGCAGGCCCGATGTCAAAATGAAATAAATCTCAACAAGGCTGATGAGTAAAACCAAACTTCTTATTTATTTGTTTGTTTTTCTTCCAAGGATTTGTTTAAATTCATAGATTCTTTTTCTAAAATTTTTTTAATGTTTTATTTATTTCTGAGAGAGAGAGAGACACAGTGTGACCATGGGAGGGTCAGAGAGAGAGGGAGACACAGAATCTGAAGCAGGCTCCAGGCTCTGAGCTGGCTGTCAGCAGAGAGCCCGATGCGGGGCTCAAACCCATGAACCGTGAGATCGTGGCCTGAGCCGAAGTCAGACACTTAACCGACTGAGCCACCCAGACGCCCCAGTTTTATTTAAATTCAAATTAAATAAAATTAATAAAATTAAGTACACTACATGTAGTGTAGTGTTAGTTTTAGTAGTAGAATTTAGTGAGGGATTTTAAAATCAACCTTCTAAGGCATGGTTTGTAACTATCAGTTTACAAATATTACAGCTTTCAGCAATAAAAACTTGTTTATTGGAGTTTCCCATAAGGAACTTAACTCTCTTTTAGTGCTTTACGTCAATATTCCTTGGGAAATTTTAAACAAACCTGGCAATATTATGGGAAAATCTTTTGCCTTTTTAGAAAACAGACGTAGAATTTATTTTTTTTTTTTTTTGGCAAAATATACATCATGCTTCCAGATTTTACTTAAACTCTAAAGTAATAGTTTTGCAGGTACTCTCTAACATTTTCCTTATTTGACTGACAAGATAAAATAAGCCACAACTTATCTTCTCAATGCATCTGTGTAAAAAATTCTCTTAATCTTTGAGGGTTCATCATTAGCTATGAAACTAGTCCTTGGCTTCTGCTCCTCTTCTATATTTCAGCCAAGAATGAGCCAGATTCTGGCAGTGATGGGGAGGTGAATGTGTGGCTCTCTTAGAGGGCCAAAATTTTAATAAGAGCTGATTGGGCACATATTTATTTTGTGGTGAGCTCCATGCCAGATGGAGTAAAGCCATGAGAAGTGAAAGAAACAGTTCCTGCCCTTGAGAAGCTTACACCTAGTGAACCAGACATGATGTAATACAGGAAATTATGAAAGAACATTCCAGTATGTATATTGTCTGGCTTGCCTGTGGTGGTATGTGTTGGATAGCAAATGCATCCCGGATGCCAGACAGTCGATCAGCCCAGAGACAATTTGGGAAGGCGATGAAGAGCTGGAGATATCTTTTATTTTACATTCTAATATGCAAATGTTACTTTCATTGAGTACCTATCATGTTCTGGGCACCACAGACACACAGTAAGCACTAAGAGCCCATGCTGCATGCATAGGCTAAGAGCAAAGAGAATTAACAGGATGACTTTTTCTGGAGGTCTTCAAGCCATGCTTAGTTCAGATCTCAAAATACACGCATGTCAATTGAATGGTGTTAGAAACATGTGGACTCATTCCTCTGAGTCAGGACCCAAGGGCCCCCTGCTAGATCTCCCTGCTTCTATTCTTATTCCCTCCAGTCCAGGGTCAACACAGCAATTTTTGACCTTGGACACCAAGGAAGGTGGGGGAATGGAGAGGAAGGACAAGTCCTGAGCTTAGCCTGTGAATCTCTCAAATGGCTAGATACCACTACATTTAGACCAGAAAGATCAGCTACCTTCCTTCTTTAAATGGTAAAGTCATGGACAAGGAGCACCATGATGGGGGTGTTTGGTGGTGGTGAGTTGATAAACTTCTTTTTCTCTGAAAAGGTTCACTAGAAATTCCTGGGGCTCCTCGGTGGCTCAGTCGGTTAAGCGTCTGACTTCAGCTCAGGTCACAATCTCATGGTTTGTGGGTTCGAGCCCTGTGTCAGGCTCTGTGCTGACAGCCAGCTCAGAGCCTGGAGCCTGTTTCAGATTCTGTATCTCCCTCTCTCTCTGACCCTCCCTTGCTCACACTGTCTCTCTGTCTCTCTCTCTCTCTCTAAGAAATAAATAAAACATTAAAAATTTTAAAAAGAAAAAAAAGAAACTCCTGCAGGCTGATGTGCCAGCATCCACATCCTGTTTTTGCCTTGAAATCTGGAACCGTCTGCCATGCTCCCCCTCTGCCACCTATAGTGAAGTCTCACAGCTTGCTGTGCTTTCCTTTCAGTAGCCTCAAGCACTGCTGCAGCTGGAGAGTACACCGTTGATGTTGAGATCAGTTTTGAAAATGCCTCCTTCTTGGAGCCTATCAAAGCTTACTTGAACAGCCTCAGTTTCCCAATTCAAGGGAACAGCACTGACCAAGCCACCACCATTTTAAGCATTGAGGTGACAACAGGTGAGTCAAAGACCCATTGCTTTAGAATGGAGGGTTGGGGATATCAGGAGAAAGGCTGTCCGAGCTCCTTTCTATTACAGCAAATTGTACGTAGTAGGCAAGTGACATGACTCAAAAAGGCCTAATGTGTGATTTTATGACTTCACGGCCTTCCAGAATGAAGCCCCTATTGGCAAAGTCTATGGCCAATTTCCTTATCTGAAATGATAGCCAAATGTTTGCTTGGTGGTTTGTGTATTGGTTGACACAAAATGGTCCTGAGATACTGCCAGGTCCTTCACAACAAACTACTTGGTCCCATCCCTCTGGGTAGTCAGTGGGTACAGCAAGGACTGGTTCAGGCATCAATAAGGAGCAAGTTCCCTTCATTTTAGCATCATAGGTCAGGAAATAGGAATGAGGTACACACCCAGATTTGGAAGCAAGACATAATATAGAAACCACAGGCTGTGCGATTGGATTTTCTGGTCACTGCCTCCCTTCTGAGGTTGGGCTAGCTGTCCTGTTTCTCAGGCACCATCACCTGCTATGATATGGGACTCCCCCTTGTCCTAAATAATGTGGATGGATTTTATGATTCTAAAATGGAAGCAAGAATAAAATTCTTGTCTTTCAAACATTTTTGAATTCTTGTATTTCAAATAGTTCATCAGTATCAGTCTATGCATTCCAGCTTTTATTCCTTTCTTTTTAAAGAGAGAGACAGAGAGAGAGCATGTGAATGTGGGAGAGAGGCAGAGAGAAAGAGAGAGAGTCTTAGTGTGCTCCTGAGTGTGGAGCCACCCATGTCACCCACTGAGCCACCAAGCACCCCAATCCAATTTTTTAGTCTTGACATAAGCAAACTGAACCAGAAATGGCTGCTTCTTAGCTCTCTCCGGATGCCCTTCCCACCTATGCCGAAGCAAAGGACTGTATCAGTGTCCACGGATTCACTAGAGCTTGGGCACCTCTCCTATTTCAGGAACAGTGATTTGATGGCTTTCTTTTGGGTAGTCACTCTTAGAATAGACAGCTCCCTGTGATATGACTTTGATCGAGTTTTAGAAATAAATTCAAAGCACTCTGTTTTCAGAGCATTTTCCAACGTCCTCGATGGGATTAGAAAATATTTGGTTTGTTTACATTCGACTAGAAATGTAAAAGGCACAGTTTTATTTGTCTTCTATGTTTGTTACCTGTTGCTACTTAACAATTAGCCCACAACTTAGCATCTTAAAACAACAAACATTTGTTGTATCATACAGCTTCTGAGGGCCAAGAATTCAGGAGGAGCTTAGCTGGGTAGCTCTGGCTCAAGGCCTCTTAGGAGCTTGTAGTCAAGCTTTCAGCCAGAGTAGGAGTCCTTTGAAGGCTCAACTGCAGCTGGAAAATCCTCTTTGAAGCCCACGCGTGTGGCTGTTGGCAGGACTCAGCTCCTCACTAGCTGTTGACTGGAGACTTGTTCCTGACCATGTTGGCCTCTCCATGACATGTCCTCATGCATGGCAGCTGGCTTCCCCCCAGAGCAAGTGATAAGAAAGAGAGAGACAGACAGACAGACAGACATCACAGAAGGAAGCCACAGTGTCTTGTATCCTAATCTCAGAAGTGATGTATCATCATTTCGGCCATATTCTGTTAGTCACACAGACCAAGTCTAGTATGATACGAGAAGGAGTGACAAAAGGGTGTTAATGCTCAGAAACAGGGGTGGTCAAGGGCTGTCCTGGAAGCTGGCTGCCACATGCTTTATGTCCAGGAAGCTGTCTATCACATCATTGTAGGCATCTGCTGAGATAGTCAGAGTGATCATCTTTTAGACGGCCATACCTAATAGCATGGTGATGCATATGAGAATCACATGAACTCGTGTAGTACTGTTGAACTTCCCCAAGGCAATATGGAGTCAAGTTAGGATTTTCTACAAGTATAAATACTTACAGTCTATATAAATGTAAGGATGGTGACCACCTTCTCTTGCCTCACTGTTCTGGTTAATGACAGTCTGCAGACCTACTGGAAATGAAATCTGGTGCTCCTGTGAGACAGGCTATAGGTGGCCTCAGGAAAGGTGCCTCCACAATCTCATTTGTCAAGAGCATGATGGCTCCCCTGCAGGGCATTGTTGCAATTGCCTTAAAGGACTCCCTCCCAAGGGACCTTTTTGCCAGCTCCAAGGAGGTAAGTAACTCTTCATTAAGTGTTGTTTGTTGAGTGACTATTTGATATCAACTCAAGCAAATGTTCTCTTCCCTGTGTGTATTCAAATGCTAACATGAGATTTTGCAATATTGCCCTGTGTTTTTTTTTTTTTTTCTTCTCAGCAGATGTTACCCTAAGAATGTCAGTCAGACTCAATGTGGGCTTTCAAGAAGACCTCAAGAACTCTTCCTCTGCTCTCTATAGGTCGTACAAGACTGACTTGGAAACAGCGGTAGGCTTTGGCCCCAAGAACCAACAAGCTCCTTGGGCTGAACTGAACCTGTTGTATTTACAAAGGATAATTTGCTTGGATCTGTCAGAATTTATGAATGTGGACATCAAAATTATTCCCATACATCTGGGATGATGAATTAAGGAGTGCTCAAATGAAATAGTGTTCAGGGCATGATTTGACATCACCTTGACCTATAGGTAGACCATCTTCACAGGGTAGAATTTGGAGGCATCAGTTCACTGACTCCAATTCAGAGGCCCACGAACCTGGTCTAGAAGCTCCTGCTGGTCCATTTCTGTTTGTCTTCACACACTGCATGGATGAACCCCTAACGGGTTTTGAGTATACCAGCCCAAGGCTGGCACCGAGGGTTTCAAACCATTCCACATCAGCAGTCACGAGGCATTCTCACTTAAAACAGATTTAACTTTACTCATATAAAAACAGAGAATATTCCCTGAGTATTAACTGAGTGCCCGACGCTATTCTAAGTGCTTTACATTGTATTAATTCATCTGAACCTAAATGCTTTGCTTGAATGAACTCATTTGGAATAGAGCTTCCCAGTTGGTATGGTATAAATTATCACACGTGAGCTGAGATAATGACTCCCCTTAACTCTCTGGGCAGCCATGCCCCTGCTTCAGGCCAGGAGCAGCCTCTACTTTACTTGTAAACCACATAAATGATTTTCATTTTCTGTGGGTGTCATGATGAAGGGCTGAAGAGCTCTTGGACATCGGATTTTCATTATCTGGCATGTAATAGTTCTGCCACAGCACGAGAATCTTCCTCACATGCTGCACACTCAATTCTATACGTTTGAGGAAAGACACAGTTGCATATTAATCTTTGAATCCTACCAATCCAGGTACTCGGCACAGCGCTTTGCACCCAGAGTGCTTTGCATATTTTGCATTTACTTGTAAATGTGACTTGAATCAAAATGAATCTCCTAGGGTTTGGAATTCAGAGAAACCTCCTCATTTTCTTTGTGAGGCATTTCCCCAACTAAAATTCTTTGCACATTCAACCTGGTGTTTGCTTCTTGGAGAACCCAACCTGACATAGGCTGATAGGAATTACTTCTTCAAAGATCTGCCAATGTTAGCACTAACAAAATACACAGGTCAAAGTTTTACCTGGGGTGATAAAGAATGCGTGCTTTTTCTTCTGCTTTCAACCTTTTGACTTATCTCTCATTGGACCTTGATACATGACACTTGTCTTACTTTGTTTTCCAGTTCTGGAAGGGTTACAGTATTTTACCAGGCTTCAAATTGGTGACTGTGACAGGGTTCAGGTAAGAAGCTGTAATCGGGTGATTTCTACCCAATGACAGAGACCACTACGTTAGTGAAGGAGAAAAAGCCCATTAGAGGGGCATCACTTAGAGCAGTTTGGTAGAGGTGAAGACAATGCTAGATTGCTAGGGCTCGGAGAGGCGGGCAATTCTGAAAACAGAAACTCGCTCCTCCTGGATATACCTGCTTAAATGGAAAGTGAGCAGACCTGTGTTTATTCAGTGCCTGCAGGAGCTTTGCAAACAGATAAGTCCACAGACTAGGGAGTTCCAAAATACAAAAATGAAATAATGTCATCCGTGACGCCTTTATTCAAGAAAAGTTATCCAGCCAGCCACAAGCGCAGAGCTGCATGCTGCTGTGTAAATGGCGCCCCCTGGAGTTGAGCACCACACAGCTCTGTACAGGTTTGTACAGTGTTTCAAACAGAGGCCCATTTCAAGAAGGAAGAAGGTTCACAGAAACACTCAGGTTCTGGCCTCATTTGACATTCAGCATATCTGGTAACCTTGGGCCAGCATGGCTCTGTGACAGCAGTCTCTGCATGGTGGCTGAGAACCCATGACCAACTGTGGAAGGGGGGCTATGATCCCCTTGGCTCATTCCTGGCCAGCTGTTCCAAATGTCCACAGACATTTGTGTGTCTCAGGCTTTCAACTGGAACTTGAAAGAAGGTTGACTTGAGTGAACCTTTAAGGATAAAAAGTACCCAAGGTGTTCTTGCCATTTGGTTTTCCCATGTAAATAAACCATAAGGATCTAGACTCTTCCAGGTCAGTTCCTGCCTTACTGAACTGAGTCGTCTCCATCCAGGCCCGGAAGCGTGGTTGTGACATATGAGGTCAAGACTACAAGACCGTCACCTACGTTAATGCACAAAGCAAATGATCAAGTAATGCAGAACCTTAATCAGACTTACAAAATGGATTACAATTCCTTTCAAGTAGTTACTAGCAGTAAGTAGGACATCTCCTTGTTTTTCCTATACATGGATTCTATTTAGAGGTAGTAATGATGTTTATCATTATGCTTAACACTAGGAAGTTACATTGCAGTGTCCTCCATGGAGAGAGACTCTCTGGTTCCTGGCACAGAGGCTTCCTGTCTGAGGCACCGTGCAGAGCATCCCAGCCAGGCTGATGTCACTGCAGTTGGGGGAGGGTTGTTGGGGGGGGGGGAGATTTTACAAGAGTGTCCCAGAGCCATCTGGGTTGATAGAGTTATTTATTTATTTATTTTTTTAATCAGAAGTCCCAAATCACCTGGGTCGCCTGTGTGGCTCAGTCGATTAAACAGCTGACTCTTGATTTAGGCTCAGGTCATGATCTCCTGGTTCATGCGATCGAGCCCCGGGTTGGGCTCTGCACTGACAGCATGGAGCCTGCTTGGGATTCTCTTACTCTCACTCTCTTTGCTCCTCCCCCAGTCTCTCGTTCTCAAAAAAAAAAAAAAAAAAAAGTCCCAAAACATTCAAAAACTAACATTAGAGTGGTGTTGGGATGTTCATGCAATGCACTGATATTAAACAATTGATACTGTTATTTTAGAGAAGTTCTGGAAATGTGGCCCCCAGAGCAGCAGCAGCAGCAGCCCCTGGGAACTTGTTAGAAATACACATTCCTAGGGCCACCCCAACCAACCAGGGCCATCCATGTTTCAACAAGCCCTTCAAGTGATTCAGATGTTTGGGCAAGTTTGAGAACCCCTGCTTTGGATCTCATAGAGCAGTGGTAAAAGATCCTGGGATTTTTAGATGCTCTCCTGCATTTTACAAAGGCGTAAAGAGTTGTGTTCTGGTGTGTTATTAGGTGGGTGGACCTATTGTCACTTGGGAAACAGTAAGGAGAGCCAGCTGGGCAGAGATTCGGCAGGCAAGAATTTGCAGGCAGATGTTCTAGATAATTCCGGTGAGTAGTTTCGGAGTAAATGCCATGCCTCTTCGGAACAACGCTGTGTCCGTTCGGGGAGGACTCTGAACGGCTGTTGAGGGAACATCTGGGAGACAGGGCACACCTCCGCAGGGGTTAGGCTGTCCTCACAACAGATTTATACTGCTCATCTTTATATTCACTGGTGTTTTAGATGCCAGATCATTTTTAAAATCAAAATATTAAAAGAGCTATACACTGTGGTAAGAAAGTGCTACAACTTAAGCAAGGAGAAAAAAATAATAATTCAGAAGCAATAAGGTGGCAACACCACAGGTGAAAACTGGAAAAGTAAAGGCCACAATGTCACCCCTTCCTGACCCCCAGCACCCCCCCAACCCACACGTTTTGCCCTGAAAAAGTCCCTATATTTATATTTCTGACGGCATAGGAGAGTATCAGTCTCTAGCATAGGTAAGCTTTGGTTATGATTACTCTTTCCTCCAAATTTCAGTTGTGTTGAGGTTAGTCAGCCATTTAAACGAGGTTTCCTGATTAGTGGCTGACTGTCGGTCTAGAAACATGGTGCTGACAGTACAGTTTACAAAAGCATTTGGAGTTTGTGGCTGATTCTTCCAAAGAGCAATGAAGCCATTGTGAATGGCACTTGACCCCGTTTCTACAGGGGGTCTATACCCATGTCCGTCCACCTTCGAAGACCAGAATGATTCTGGGATATGTACAGACTCAGACCCAGAAACAAACTGATGTCACGTGCAATTCCATGGGAGAGCTCAGACATCAGCCTGCTTTCCATAGTGTTGGTGGTATTTACCTAGAATATAAATATCCAAAAGGTCAAGTGAATGGATTTTTTTTTTAACTTATAGTTATATTTGGGGGCAGAGGAGAGGAAGAGAACCAGAAAGAAAAAGAGCTGAATGAATGAGTTAGTGTCAGGAGCTTATTTTACATCTTTATGAACTACAAAGGGCAGAGGGCAATGTTCATAACATTTCCATTTATTTGGTGGTATATTAATCCTCAATAGAATTAAAGTTTGGTTAATTAGCAGGATCACTTAACCAGAATGCTCCTTTCTTTAATCGCTGCCAATAAATTTATGGTCCATTCCACATAACCACATTCTACTGGCGGTCTGACGAATCATTATTATTGGTAACAATGATAATGAAGAGAGACATTGTTAATGTATCTTTCCTGTGTTAAGCTCAGTGTGTTACACATATTTTGTCTTCATATATCTTGTGAGATAGGTACATTGTCTCCATGTTATAGATGAGGCAATGGAAGCTGATAAAAGGTAAATAATATGCTCAAGAGCACATAGTAAGTAACATAAGTTTCTATGACTTCAGATTCAATTCACTACATTAAATATTCACAGAAGGCCTTGCTTCTTAAGAGTTAAATGTGACATTTTAAAATCTTACTTTATTCAGGAGCCTAAAAGAGAAATAAGAATTATTTACATACCTTGATATTTTGACCTGAACATCATAGCTCCCCAAATTAATTTTATGGTGTTTTGGTCTCATGTTTACAATATGGAGAGGGTCTGGCCTGAGCACGAAGCCCATGGAAAAGAGGTCTCAGACAGCTTCTTTATCTAGCTGTTCTGATTCCCTCAACACGTGGAATTGGAATAAACTACATGTTGTGTGAGCAAAAGACAACCGTAAAACACACCCACAAAAATAGCAAACGTTGTGTTTTATTTCTATCTCTGAAATAACTTAATGCTGTGGTTCTCCGGAATTTTACTATGAAAACAATAATAGGTATCATTCCCCCAAATCACCTCCTGTTTCCCAGACAAGGGAGCTGCAGCTCAGAGAGGCGAAGTGAATTCCCTAGGGCTCCACAGGGAGTTGCACAGAACCAGAATTCAAATCTGGACCTGTATGTCTAAAAAGCTCTCCTTCTTAAGGGCCTGTGGGTATTAAGTCTTCAAAAATTCTTAATTACAGACTATTATAAGAAATTATTTTTTCCTGTTGTAATTCATCACAGACATAGGACAGAACTTTCAGTGGTGTGGGGTATTTGTTGTCAGCAGGAAACTGTCGATATTATTGAGTCAGTAGCAAAGAAATGTGAAGCTTAAATTAGCTGCCGTGGCTTTTTTAGAAGCAAACGAGCAATGTTCCACCAGACTATTTGAAATATTGAAAATAGCTTTGAAATTCCCATTACTACCATTGCGGGCTCTTACTACCCTTCCCATTACTACCATTGTGCAGACTCCAAAATGGAAGCCATGTCCCTCGTATCTGGCGGGTGGTAAGACTTTGGGCCTCGGACACCAGCAATATGGGCATGGAATGAGGAGGGTGTGTTGCCTCATTCTAGACAGCACCATGGACCCATGTGGTGGTGGCCCCTGGTGGATAGCATCTATTACATTCATTTGCTTCAGGATCTTAATACCATTTCTTTGGGTTTCCAGATGAAACTAAGTTCACCATTGTACCAGAAATCACTTTTGAAGGGGATACGGTAATGCTGATGTGTGAAACTGAAGTTTTGTCATCTAACGTGTCCTGGCACCATGTTGAAAGGCACTCCGACATCCAGAACGGCAGCAGATTCTCAATTTACACCTTTGTGCTCAACAACATGACCTCGATATCACACCTCACCATTTACAACGTCACTCAGGGGGACTCAGGTGGGCTTCCATCCAATAACCGGTGCGGGGATGGGAACAAAGAGTTCACAAAGAAACAAGCCATGGAATGTGTATATGGTGTTTCCCTCTTTGAAAAGAAGTCACCAAGTTCAACTTTTCAAAATTAAAAACGAATCCCCTAAGGGGTGCCTGGGTGGCTCAGCTGACTTCGGCTCAGGTCATGATCTCACAGTTCGTGGGTTCAAGCCCCGCATCGGGCTCTGTGCTGACAGCTCAGAGCCTGGAGCCTGCTTCAGGTTCTGACCCTCCACTGCTCGCTCTCTCTCTCTCTCTCTCAGAAATAAATAAAAAAAAAATTAAAAAAATTTTTTTAAATGAATCCCCTGGCATATGAGTAAGCAAATAGAGCCTTAGAGACAAAAACAGATTTCTACATTTACCAAGGGCTTAGGAGTTGGAAATGGAGATAAAAAGCTGACTTTTGTTTTTAATTTTTAAAAAGTTTTAAAGAGCTTTCTTGAGACAGAATTGACATATAATAAGCTGTACATACTCCAAGTGTACAGTTTAACAAGTCTTGGCATATGTATAGACCTGTGAAACTACACCCTCGTCAGGACCATCACACTCCATCATCCCAGGCCCAGTTTTCCTGCATTCCATTGTAATCTCTCCTTTCCCAAAAACAACAGAAGCACAAGTTTTAAACCTGACATTCTAGAATTTAATAACCCTGTCGAAACCCAGATGTGAACAGGGGGGCTTCTCTTTTTCTCTGACTGAGAAGTTGGGTTGCAGACACATGGGTCCTGTTCCATCTTTATTGATTCTGATTTTGCCACTGAGTGAAATAGAATGGCCAAATCATCCAGTCTTCTGACTCTCCTTTCTACCTCTTCCATCCCCACACACTTTTTTCTTACTAGCAAAGACTGAGATTTCTGCTGCTTCCTTAGAACATCTCTCTAGGCATTAACTTTTGGCGTGAGAAATAACCTGCACTGACCTTCTACACTTCCTGAATGGGTCTTTAGGGTTGTTTAGAGCAAGTCTCGGATGCTTTTGAAAATGATGTTTCATGAAATACTGTCATGACACACGAGACGAGGCTATCATCCTTCTAAGGAAATACATACACGTGGCAATAAAAAATGCATTTGTATGTTCTATGCAGGTGAATATATTTGCAAGCTGACATTAGATATTTTTGAATATGAGTCCAGAAAAAAAATGGATGTTATACCCATCCGAATTTTGGCAACTGAAGAAATGAAGGTGAAGTGCGATAACAATCCTGTATCTTTGAACTGCTGCAGTGAGATTAATGTTAATTGGAGCATGATAGAATGGAAGCAGGAGGGGAAAATAAACATTCCAGGTAAGAATGTTAGATGTCCTTTTGCATATACAGTTTTGCCTTTTGGCCAAGTAAAAATGGGAGATGCACGGGGTAGAAGAGGAAATGTCAGATGGCTGTTTTTTCCCAAACTTCAGACTATGAAAAAGTACTAGGCTTAATGCCAGCTCCAGCTTAGCTACTCTAGAACAACATTCCAAAAATACATGCATGTAAATGCCATGCTTGGGTTGTAGACAAGATCCTGGCAAAGAAGACCTGATAACTTCCAACCATAGGATCTCCCGCCTATAGAAAAGCTTGCCCCACCTTCCTCTCTTCTTCATCTTCAACAAAGAGCTAAGGATGAGGTCATTGGCTTTGCTTTGGAGGCTGACTTGAAATTTCTCTATTCTGTGTCTCTTTTCCTGGTGTCTGTCCTACTCATGTCCCCACCTCTGTATTCCTATTCTTCCGTATTACCTAATTCTGTGTCTCTGTTTTTTTAATCTCTCTGTGTAGACCTGTTTGTCTCTCCATTGTTCATGTCCATTTCTGATCCCGCTTGGCTTCCTCTTATATCTGAAGTATTACTGGAAGTTCTCCACCCTCCAGTTTACACTGATGAATGATAACAATAATAACAAATTAAAAAAGCAATACTGACCCTGTTTTGTATAACAGTATATGATTAACCAATTTGAGGAATATATTATCACTTTTAATCGTATTTAACCTTGATCACACACTTGAAGCTGGCATTTTTTTGCCTCCACTTTGCAAATAAGGAAATTGAGGTCTACATTAACTAATTCAAGGTTGTCACAATAGGAAAAAAGAAAAGAAAGAAAGAAAAAGACTCACCTCAGGTCTTATTTCACAAGACCAGTGTTTGCCTTGGCAAAACTATTTTTCCCATGCTTGATGATGAGCCAATGCTGCAGTAGGCTGATCTGACAGAGTTTGTTCTGAAGCAGAAGATTGTTTTTTTATCTAGAAACTTCACATAACAAGATCCAATCCTTCCCTTAAGAAATGACAATTTTACGTGTTCCTTTCTAAACTAAAAAAACCCATTAAAGTAAAATGTGGTTTCAGAGGGGTAAGGCTCTATTTTACAAAACCTTTGCTACCAGACTGTGTTAAGTCATAAAAAAAAAAATAAAATGATGATGAATTTCCATGCGCCTTTTCCTGAGCACATCTATTTGCGAAGCACATTTCACCTGTCCCATTTGTATTTTACTTTAGATACTCCCAAGAATGGGAAAGGCATCTGGTAACTGCTGAAAATGTTGACACATGATACATTTAGTCACTTCCTTGATTGTTCAGGAAGGGGAGGTGTAGGCAACCTGGAGGAACTGCCAGATGGGAAAAAGACCTTGCAAAGTTCCCTTGGTACTGACTTAATAAGCATTCAGCTCTGAGAGGTGAAGAACGTTACCCTCTGGCAGAGGAAGCAGGAAGTCTGCAGTGCAGATGCTCAGGGACCTCTCTGTGGCCACCACCTCTTCAGACATTCCTAATACCCAGTGCTGGTGAGCCGGCCCAGAACAATGGCTTTCCTGCCACGGGGCTGGCCACCTGGAGACCTGTACTGTCACTGCTCTGATGAACTTGGCCTCTGCCCTCAGCATCTTGCCTTCTCCCTCCACCCCACCATCCCTGAAGTTCCCTCTCTTTCTCCAAATTCCACGAAGTCTTTAGCACCCATTTTTCAGGGTCAGTAGGAAACAATCAAGCAAAATAATTCACTCCGAAGCATATGGAACTGAATGCATTTCCAGAAACAGATGCATTTCATTTTCAAAGCACGAGGGATAAGATAGAAAGGAAGTCATCAGCATGGTAGAATTTCTAGCATTAAGAAGGCAGTCTTTTTAGAATGCAGTGGGCTTTTTGGAGTTTTTCAACTCATCAGGCAGCAGCTAATGATATAAATGGTAATGGCACAGAAGTGATAGTATCAATACTGCTACTACCGCTAGTAATAGTAGAGGTACTCACAGTTATCATTATTAGTGCAGCATCTAAGTCTGCCTGTGTATAGTACTAGCTTGGCCTGCATGGAAATGGACTGACAAGCTGGGGGAAGTAATGAACAACAGACTTTGTAGTCTCATGGTAGCTCTTATTTGGTGTGATGATAAAAAATAATGGAGCCGTGGGGGGCCTCGATGGCACAGTCATGATCTCGTAGTTTGTGAGATCGAGCCCCGTGTCGGGCTCTGTGCTGACAGCTCAGAGCCTGGAGCCTGTTCTGATTCTGTGTCTCCCTCTCTCTGCCCCTCCCCCACTCACTCTCTGTCTCTCTCTGTCTCTCTCTCTTTCTCTCAAAAATAAACATTAAAAAAAAAATGGAGCCTTAATTCCCTCCTTGCCCACAAGAGAGAGCCATTCCCAAATGAGTTCATAAACTTCTTTGTGGCCCTACCTACCATATCCAGTGGCCCACATTCATGTGGAGTATTCAGAAAACAATTGAATTTTTGTAAGAGGGCGCCAGCTCTCTCTTGGCTGGCAGACATTAGGTGACATTAGAAAGAACGACTTCAAACTCCACAGTCCCCTTTCGTGTGTCTTTTCTTCCTGATTGCCCCGCTGAAACATTTAAGCATGTATTATTTTGTGTGCTTGCATGCCATCCCGCATGGATTTTATCTTTGGTCATGTTTTGTTTTTGTTTTTGTTTTTGTTTTTGTTTGTTTTTGCACCCAAACAGGGCAAAAACAAGAGAGAAAGAAGGGAGGCTGGAGTCACTTCATGAAGTGCCACTAGAGGCAGGCTGGCTTCCAGGTCTGAGGCGAGACCTCCGTAGAGTGGCAATGCTCTCCATTCCTCAGCACATGGGATCACCCTGGGTGTTTATTAAAAAGACCAGCTGTCAGGGCTCAACCCTAGAACAATCATGTCAGTATCTCCGGGTTTGGGCTCCAGGCAGAGGCATATTTTCTTGAATTTTGCAGGAATTTTTGTTGGGCAGAGGGGAGTGAGGACCAGGTCTTTAGTCCAGTTCCTCATTTTACACACGAGAAACTGAGGCTGTCTGTGTGCTGCTCCATGTCTCCCCAACAATAACAAGGGATGCCTCGTCTCACCAACTGCTCTTTCTCCTCCTCGGTCTTTCTCTGTGTGATCCTAATGATGCCATGGACAAATCCGATTTTTTTTAAAAAAAATTTTTAATGTTTATTTATTTTTGAGAGAAAGAGACAGAGTATGACCAGGGAAGGGGCAGAGAGAGAGGGAGACATAGAATCTGAAACAGGCTCCAGTCTCTGAGCTAGCTGTCCACACAGAGCCCGATGCCGGGCTCAAACCCACAAACCATGAGAGTATGACCTGAGCCGAAGTCGGACACTTAACCAACTGAGCCACCCAGGCGCCCCAACAAATATGGTTTTAAATAGTGATTCCTCTACTTGTGGGAATGCCCAGAGAATTGAATACAAAGAAAAGAAAGAACTTGAGTCAAGTCTTCTGTTCTGGATAAATCCTTATGACCCATGCTCTCCAGGAAGACAATACCTAGTCCTGAAAAGCTGCAGTCCCCTCTCTGTCATGTGCCTTCTTAAGTCGGGTCACCTCACTGATCCCACTTTCATCTATTAAACAGTGATAATGCTACCCATTTTCACAAAACTTTTGTGAGGAGAAAAACCAAGATGATAAATGTAAATATTTAAAATGGAGTTGAATACACTGCGTCTGCCCCAAGACCTGTTGTCTGATCATGATGATACCTCTAAAATCCAGGCCTCACTCTTCCGCAGTGTGGTGGGAAAACTTTGGTGGATAGCAGCTAGCCTTGAGAAGCTAAGTAATAGCATGCCGTCTCTTCTCCAGAAAACCCAGCACCAACTTATTATCTGCATTCTGTGCCTTCCGAGCAGGACCCTGAAGGGCAGAGCCCGGGATAGTGGATGAAACACAATGTAAATGCTGCCAGTCAGAGGCCCTACTTGTGTTTTCTGGGTTTGCCATTTCTTTGGAGCCTTATCTCCGCTCTTTCTGTACCTACGTGTGTCAGCCTCACAGAACACGGTATCCCCCCTGCCCTCCCCATCCCCTGAATAGCAAGCAGCTGCCTCCGGGCTTTTTGTTTATGGCAGTGGTTTTCTGATTTAACTGTAGAATCTTTCTTTAAGGAAAATCTTGTAGGGTTGTGTGATGCAGGAAGTCTCAACCTCAGCACTAGTGACATTCGAGGCAGGATAATTCTTTGCTGAAGGGCGCTCTTCTGTGCATTGTAGGGTGTTTATCAGCATCCGTGGCCTCTACTTACTAGATACCAGTAGCTCCCCCAATTGTAACAATAAAAACTGTCTCTGAACGATGCCAGATGTCCCCTGAAAGCTGAAAATCACCTCTGGTTGAGAACCATATGCAGAGAAGGTCATAGTGGAGCCACTTGAGTTATGAATGGGATTAGGGGCTCAGAGTCCACATAGCTTATGGCCCTTCCACTCCCCACCAAGCTAGCTCCTGAAGCAGGCTACTGGAACACCACAATCTCCATTCTCAAAGGAGTACTGATTCACACCTACAGCTGCCCCCAAGAACACTCGAGCCACCATTTCTGTCCTTCAAGGCCTAGAGCAAACCTCCCTACTTCCCTGAAATCCTCCTTAGTCTCCCAAAGAAACTCCCCTCCTTCAGCCTCTGAAATTTAGTTACTTCCCTTTTATGAAAGCTCTCTACTGTGTATATTAATTATTTGTGTACATGTCCTTATATATCCATCCTGAAATTTCCTTGACCAGCACATCAGTTTAATGGTAGAGCTGGGCCTCGAAAGATAATTAAGCTTCAACGGGAGGAAGAAGGAAGGAGAATGTTCCCAGTGTGAACACAGCCATCTAGGCATGAAGCCATAGGGCATGTTATAAGCTTAGGACATTGTGTATTTTTTAAGAGAAAGGTATAAAATGAGATAAAAAGTATAGAGGCAGATTGATATCATACCCTGAATAAATACGCATACCATCCAAAGGAGAATCTTTCTTATTTTGTACACAATGGTAAGATTTAAAGGTTAAGAGGAGAGAAGTCAGCTGATCAGAGCTGAACTTTAGAGAAAAATAATTTTGGGGGCTGCTGGGTGGTTCAGTTGGTTAGGCATCTGACTTTCGCTCAGGTCATGATCTCACAGTTGGTGAGTTCGAGCCCTGTGTCAAGTTCTGTGCTGACAGCTCAGAGCCTGGAATCTACTTCAGATTCTGTGTCTCCCTCTCTCTCTACCCCTCCCCTACTTGTGATCTATCTCTCTCTCAAAGATAAATAAACATTAAAATAATTTTAAAAAAGAAAAACAATTTTAAGGTAGCATAGCCAATAGATTAAAGGGGCAAATAACTTAAACTAGAGATCCAGTTATAATTGGATGTAATTGGCAGATAACAGAAAATGGGGCCTGGGCAAGTGACCATGGTTTGGAGTATGTAAGACAGTTCTGAGATGTTTCAGAGGAATAAGCCAGAAGATTTTTACAACTGAGTGGGAGCGGAATGTGACGAAATGCAAGTAATTAAATATGGCTTTAAGACTTTTAATTCTGGGAGCCACCAATGGCAAGAGAAGAAACAGAAAATGTGAAGGTTTTGAACAGGGAGAAGAAAGGTTGATTCTTAACTGAATGTGTTGAGCTGGAGGTTACCTAAGATGTGAAATCAATGCTTGGGAATCTGTTTCTAGAGTTTCCAACAAGAATGTTTCTCTTACAGATAGAGTCAGGAACCATCCACATATAGAATCTAAAATAGGAGCCGTGGGTGTGAATGAGCTTGCCCAGTGAGACAGTGGAGAAAAGATAAGGAAAGTGTGACTATCAGAATGCCTGGGGAGAGGGAACATAGTTATTTGAAAAGAGGACAGAAGGAAAGCAGCCTGGGAAGGAGACTGAGAAGAAGAGGTGAGGAGAAAAGAAGCAGGAGAGACCTATGGAATCGAGTAAGCCAAGTCACGGAGAAGGTGGCCTGCAGAATGGGATGCTGCTTCTGGGTAGCTATTGGATATGGGAGAGAGGACATCACATTTGGTCTTAAAGGAACATCTAAGGCAGAGTTTAGGGGGAAGAAGGCAAATTGCATTGGTCTGATGGAAGTTGTCAGTGAAAGACTACAGATGGTACATGTGGACCCACCATGGTAGGAAGAGGGGAAGGAAATGCAGTGGTGGCTACAGAAGCTTTCAGATTGGGGAAGGATTGTTTTCGGAAGGAAAGGCTTGCATAGATCTGATGGTTGATGTAAAAGAACAGGAGGGAAAATTCAAGTCACAAGGGAGGGGACAAAGGACGGAATGAGGTCCTGAAAGAGTTGGAAGAAGTGGGTTTTCAAAGCACAAGTGGAGAAGTGAGCCTTAGGGCTGATGCCTGTGCCTCCGAGCTTGGAGCTAATCCAATCAAGTGGGTGAAGATGGAGATCGATTTGGAGTTCCAAACCTTTTGGGGACTGGGGGAGAAAGCTGGTTACGTATTAATCAGAGTATTTCAAACATCAGTGATCATCCCACCAAGGCCGGAAAAGATGCATTTATGTCAGAGCTGATCAGAAGGCTTATCCTTTCTTTGATTGTTGGAAGATTTGGAAGTATTTGAGGAAGCCTGATGAGGATGTGGAGGTAGGCAGGGCTGTAGGAGATGGATGGGAAGAGGGAGGGAGCCATTAACAAGAAGTAAAGATAGTGGGGTTGGGGTGGGGGGTGGCAACTTGGGAACAGAAAGGAAAATTTGGAAGAGGAGGTATTTTTTTAAATGTTTATTTATAATTGAGAGAGAGAAAGAGAGAAAACAAGCCTGCAAGCCGGGGAGGGGCAGAAAGAGGAGACACAGAATCCGAAGCAGGCTCTGACCCATCAGCACAGAGCCCGACACAGGGCTAGAACCCACAAACCGTGAGATCATGACCTGAGCTAAAGTCGGACGCTTAACCATCTGAGCCACCCAGGTGCTTCAGGAAGAGGAGGTATTTTGAAGGGGAAACAGCTGGTAACCTGAGAAAGCATGAAGTTGCAGTTTCCACAGAAACATACAGGCTAATAAGAGGGAACACATTAAGATAAAATATTTCTCCGATGAGACAAATGTCACATGCTCCAGGTGTGTTTCTTTCTCCTTTCAATAATAATAGTCTAAATAATCTGACATCTTTTTTCCTTGCAGTTGAAATCATATCCAAACACCTTGCTCTTGCTCGCTCTCTCTCTCTCTCTCCCTCTCCCTCTCTCTCTCTCTCTCTCACTCCAGGGACCATCGATGGTGTTTGCTAGGGACAGGCCCCAACCAGGGGCTGTTCTGAGTGATTTTGTATATTAACTCATTTGACCCGACTGCAGTCCTGGAGCATAGGTATTGCTATTTGTCCCCATTTTTTATCTGGAGTAACTGAAGCACAGAGTAGTCTGGTGACTTTCTCACCACGACCCTGCTTGTAAGTGGTAACCACCGTAAGAATCCTCCTTCTCCAAAGAGAAGAAATCTGACTTAAATAATAACTCCTTGTCACTGATTTGGCCTCTTTGCTCCTAACTCGAAGAGTCACCCAGCTGTGATGGCTTATGTCACTGCAGGAAACCCTGAAACAGACATAGATTCCAGCTGCAGCAGATACACCCTCAAGGCCCACGGGATGCAGTGTCCAAGCAGGCTGGGTGGAATGAAGGTCATCTTCGTGTGTGAGTTCATCAGCGAGCATGGAGCCAGAGGCAGTAAGAACATAGAAGTGACGTTCACCTCCATGGGTAAGGACTCCTTCACTAGGATCTTTGGGTTTGCACGTCTAGCCAAAGGCTGCCAGTCCCCTGGGAATATCTGTGAGCAATAAGGCAGGGCCTTCCCTGGTAGCAGGGGTGTGTTTAGGGTAAATCACAAATGGAAGACAGGGAGGATTTCCCTGTCTACCATTTAAATTCAGGTGAAGTCTTGTTTTCTCGCATATGTGGAATTTGAGAAACTTAGTGGGAGATCATGGGGGAGGGGAAGGGGTAAAAAATAGTTTCAAACACAGAGGGAGGGAGGCAAAGCATAAGAGACTCTTAAATACAGAGAATAAATGGAGGATTGATGGGGAGGGACAGGGGAGAGGGGGAGATGGGGGTTGGGCATTGAGGAGGGCACTTGTTGGGATAAGCACTGGGTGTTGTACGTAAGCCATGAGTCATGGGAATCTATCCCCCAAACCAAGAGCACACTGTATACACTGCATGTTAGCTAACTTGACAACAAATTATATATTTTTAAAAAAAACAAAGAAATTCAGATGAAGTCTTTAAAAGGAAGGAGGCTGGGGCTGCAGGGAAGGCCAAGTCCTGCATTGTGCTGATAAGGCAGAAGGTGGACTTGGAAATACAACTTCAGGCTCAGATTAGTTCTGCTTAATCACTTAATCAATTTCTAATGAGGGTAGTGCCCCTAATTTCCCTCTTTCCCCTCATAATCCCATCCTCCCTCATTGAATGCCAGTAGCCTGGCTCACTGCCTGCTACTCTTCACCTGCTCTGGCATCCTTCTCTCCCACTCCACCTGTTCTAGAGAGGGGCTGCAGAAAGCTTTAAAATTCTGATACTTCGTGGTTATTTTATACTTGTCGTGAGTGGTTTTTAGCCTTTTGACTGAGTTAGGCTTCTTAAAAGTGTCATTTCTCCTCCCCATCTAATAAAACATGACAACTTCACCCCTATCTGCAAAAACGGGGCGGTCAGACTTGTTTTTCCACCATCTTACCAAACAAAACCCAAACTACTTGGATAAATCATCAGACCCCCTTAAACAATTCGGGGAAAGGGCTCCTATGAACAATACTTATTAGTCTTATTCACAATTCCTGCTTTTATGACTTAGTATAAGATCTTGTTACAAAGATCAAGGCTATGTTTATCTGAAAACATTACTCCACGGATGAGTTCGGGGATCTTTTGAGCAATAATCTTCATTTGCCTAGAGTGGGAGCCGTTATACGCTTCTAGTTTTGACTCCGAGTTGTATTGATTATGCGGGGTTCGGGCTGTCTTAGAAACATGGTTAGACTTCATGGAGAACCACTGGACTGGTAGTTTGGACCTCACCTGAGGATCAAGAGGAACACATTCATGGTTCCATGAGCCTCTACCTTTCCACTCTCAGAAGCCGCCAAACAGTAGAAAGGCATCTCTACCCGAGATCTCTACAGCCAGTGAGGGCAGTGGGAGGGACACAGCAGTCCATGCTTTTGGAACTTGAGGCCTGTATCTGAACGTCAGGATCCCAGCTTCTAAAGGGAACAATGGGAAGTCCAGATTTCCTTTGATTGCGGCCAAGAGTAAGATTTTACACTGATTGGAAAGGCAGTCTGGCATCAGTGGGCTCAAGGCATGAAGCTGTTCACCTAGAGAAGATCAAAGTGAATGGCATTTTGAAATGTCAGTGACACGCTCGAAGAGGCGTGGAAAGAGGGAAGCAGGGACAAACACAGCCGGATGTTCATGTAAGCTCTTACATTTGTAAGGGTCTGGTTAACATTTTTGTTGAGTAATTCCTCATGAACACATGGGTTAAGTCAACACTCTTAAGTTTGCAACCTTTTGCCCTGCTGATCATCAGGAGATAATTCCAGCCACAATGGGGAAGTGCACGAGCTCCTAAGTCATGTGATGGAAATGAGTACAGTTCAGAGCACCACCCGGAACAGCATAGAAACCAGTAGAGCCCAGGAGCAGCAAGGTACCAGTCCCACATTGATACGAGCAGAGTGAGGGCGGCCTGCGCTTTCGGTCTCTGTCTGTAATTTCACTCCTATGTCAATGTCACCAGAAAGACTAAACATTGTGCCTGTTGTTGGTTTTTCTTTTGTCTGTTTTGTTTGCATTCTTTCAGCCAACCTAACAATAACCCCGGACCCAATTTCTGTTTCTGAGGGACAAAACTTTTCCATAAAGTGCATCAGCGATGTGAGTAACTATGATGAGGTATACTGGAACACTTCTGCTGGGATTAAAATATACCCAAAGTTTTATACCACGAGGAGGCGAGCTGATGGAGCAGAGTCAGTGCTCACAGTGAAGACCGTGACCCGGGAGTGGAATGGTGAGTGAAAACTACAGACCCTACTCTGCTGCCAGAAACACCCAATGAGAGGGACCATTCCTGGAGGGCCTGTCCTGTCCTGGGACGTGCCTGATGTCATCACATTTCATGCACGAGCCTTTTAGGGCAAGATGTCACTATCTGCATGTTACAGATGTGGAAACTGAGGCTCAAAGAGATTAACAAATACACCTAGGCTTCTACATGTTAAGTTGCAGAGCCAAAATTGGAATTCATGTCCGATTCAAGAGCCTGTGCTCTTGCTATGAAGTTAGGAGGATTGCTTTTAAAAGTAGTTTCACCAGACTTTTAGGAGTTTTTCACCCGATCATGATGTATTAAAAAAAAAAAAAAAAAAAACTAGGTAAAGGATTTATATGCCTAGCTCCAAAGAAAAGAACATTTTTATTTCTTATTTATTGCTGCACCTTATATATGTTGGAAAGAAACGCAAATATTTGGAGGAGAAAAAGAATTTGATAGAATGACTGTAATAATAGCTGATTAATGAGTCCTTAGTATGTGACAGGCACGGTGCTATGTATGTAAGTGGATTCGTTCAATTAAAACAATAAACCTAGATGCTAGTGATATTAGTGTCCCCATTTTACAGATGAAGGCACTGAGGCCCAGTGAGGGTAAGTAAAATACCCGAGGTTATACATCTGGTAAATGGCAGAGCCAGGGTGAAACTGAGACTGTCTGGCTCCAGTGGCCACCTCTTGGCCACTCTACTCTGAAGCCTTTCATTAACTATAAAGCTAATCAGTCCAGGTCCTCCAAGTCCCAGGCCGTCTTTATTTGTCCATAGAAGGCCTGGGCAACATTGTAGAAATAGCTAGTCATTGTTTGGCTGGCCTTGGTCATATATGGTCAGGAAATGGGAGTATTTTTCTCCCATGCTGGACTTATACCCACTCTGTCCAATTGCTCTTTCCTACTGAGGAGCCATAACTGGGAAGAAGCTATAACTATAGCCTATTTAACAGTCCTATACTCAGGTACTAAAAAAAAATCTATTGTTGTCTACACTGAGCACACTTTTATTTTATACTGAATTTAAGTTTCCCTTCCTCCCAACAGAGATTAAAAGGGATTTGTTCTCTGCCTTTCTTCTGTTTTCGCTTTGGCTAGTTGCTGCTCTGGCTGCCCCAGAGTTGGGGGCAAAGAGGGGGAGTGTAAGGAAAATCAAAGGGTCTGACTGAACTGTAGGTGCTGTTATAATCTTACTACACTGGCGCCATGGCACCTGTTCAGGTGGTGGTTCATCCTCTGATGGGCCCTATCATGAAGTCCACTGGGAGAAGATCCTCTTCAGGAGCTCGACCCAAGTACTGCACCCAGTCCACTCTGTCTCACCAAGCACTGGCCACAGGCTACTCCCTCCGTAGCCTCCCCTCTGTAGTCTGACAAAGCCAGCCAGTCTCGCATCATTAGACTTTTCTAGATAGGAGTCAGACATTGTACATCTAACTCCAGAGTCCGCAGATGCAGATCTCTCAAGAACACCCCACCTTCCCCCTTCCACACTCTTTGGTGGTGTCACAGCGCCCTGAAACCTGAGGAAGCTACTCACTCAGAGATGGGGGGAGGGGACATCCCAACACTTCAGCGCTCCTTCGGGCTGACAACTCCCCTCAAAGAACACGCCACCTCAGCACACACCAAAATTCCCATATTTCCCCCCTGGGTTAAGACAAGAACCTTGGGAATAGGTATTGGGAATGAACCTGCTTTGAAATGTAATTCCACAACCATAACTGTGTAACTTTGGATAAGCCACTTAACTTAAAATTTTATGTAGGTAATTGGTTGGTCTTTCAAATACATAGAGAACCCAGGAGGAGAAGTGATCAATAATTTCCTTGTCCAATGTCCAGGAGGGTATGATGTTCCCTTGCCTACGCCTGACAGGGAAATTTAATCCGTTCTTAACCTTCCCAGCAAAAGCTATTTTGGAGCAGTGATCACACTCTGTCTCATTTTTGTTTCCTTCTACTCAGGAACTTATCATTGCATATTTAGATATAAGAATTCATACAGTGTTGCAACGAAAGATGTGATTGTTTACCCGCTGCCTCTAGAGCCAAACATCATGGTTGATCCCTTGGAAGCTACAATCCCATGCAAAGGTTCCCATCTCTTCAAGTGTTGCATTGAGGAGGATGAAGACTACAAAGTAACTTTCCAAATGGATTCCCTATCCGTTCTTGCAGGTAAGACAGTAATTGCTGCGTTGTGAGGCATATCTCATTCATGTGGAGTCCCGAACACCTCATCTTAAAATAGAGGTGAAAAGATATGAAGATTGCATTAGGGACAGAATGTAACAGAGTGGACCCCATGAAACTTTGTTACCTTCCGTTTTGCTATGTGACCCATGGCTTGTTGGTTTGTGGCAAAGTCTTGAGGGTCTATGAGAGTGAGTGAAGCCCTTTGGTTTTAGTGGGAGCTGTTGAAGACAGGGTTAGGATACTTTCACAGGCTTTCTACTTACTCAATATATCAGACTAGGTATTCTGGTAGTTCATCCCCCCATGCTATGAATCAGCATGTTATAAAAGTACCACAAAAATCCTTTTAAAAATGCACAGTTGAGCATTCAAGAAAGCAAAAGGCCAAGAGCATAAAGAAAAATAAATAGAAATGTTTTAGTACTGCTAGGCCTTCTCTGAAAGCATCTGCCAGTCAGAAACCCAGCACCTTGGGTTTTAAGGCTCTGAAGGGTTTGAAGGAAAAGGTCTTGCTCTCTTTGCAGTAACTTAAGGCACCCTACATCACCAGCACAATGTCAGAACCCTCAAAGGGTGAGATGCTCACTCAGTAAGAGGATAAACAGAAAAACAGAACTTGTCTGCCAATGTTAAGAGTTTGGCCTCATCTCTGGGTGGGCAAAAAATATCCCCTGAGAATTATAACTGTCCTGCCCCCACTCAGATTTGGGGGTTTGAATTTATACTAATTATAGGGTCCAGGAACTCCACACCGAAGAGTAACTTACTTAAAATAGTCCACTAGTAGCACCCAATGGTACCTGGCAAAAAAATTCAAATCCCCTAAGGTAGAATGTACCCTTAATTCATGGACCTCAGGATTCCTACAGATTAAGGTCAACCAAATATGAGCCCACGACCCGAAATATCAAAACACAAACACCTTCTTGAAGGATTTACAAGCTCATTCATTCTTTGAACAATTATTCATGGGGACAAGCCTAATGCAAAACACTATAGTAGTCGATGAAAAGAAGATAAAAGAAGGTGGGGCACATATACCAATATCTAGCTGGAAATGTTCATGTCGTAAAAGACAATGGATATAACATTAAGTTTCCAAAATGAGCAATTCAGATCAAAAGAACACTGGAAGTTCAAAAAACAAGACCCAATAAAGATGAGAATTTAGAGAAGGCTGTATGGTATAGAATCAATCTGGATACTGAAGTATGTAAACATTTCAACATTCTATGTTTAACATGCCATGCGTGCATTCAAGGCTCTCTATGTGCCAAATACTGAGTTAGGCATTGGGAGCTGCAATGATAAATAAGACCGGATACCTTCTCTCCAAGACTTTATGGTCTAATGGAGGAGACAGGTCCATAAAGAAGTGAGTCTAAACCAATGTGGTGAAGGTAGGACAGAATGAATGCACAGGCGTGCTGGGATTTGGACCGGCGGAAGGAGGAGAGAGGAGCTGAAAGACCTTCTGATTGTCCAAACTGTATGGGCACAGATTCAGAATCATGAATGGTGGAGGTAAAGGTTAGGTGAGCACAGTGTAAATGTGGGCTGACTTACTTCTAGGCTAGAGGCATTTTTAAAACCATATCAAAAATGAATATGGCACATTCCTTGGAAAAATTTGGACACATTTATCTGTATTGGATTATCTGAAAAATAATGTGTGCTTTGAATACTCACCTTTGACTTAATTCTTTCAATGATTCTATCTCAGAAAAAGAAGTCAATGGAAAGCAAGTGTGCTACAAATATAATTTCATGGCGAGCTCAGTTTCCTGGTGTCCAAAAAAGCATGACCTATTTTGTCACTTTACCAATGCTGCGAATAAGTCAGTCCAGAGCCCTTCTATGAAGCTTAACCTGGTTCGTGGTAAGAGCATTTAAATTATTTTAAAATATTATAGTCACGAACAAGGTATTCATTTAGTCATTGATTCCTTCATTTATCCATTCAATAAATATGTATTAAACACCTTCATGTGGTGGGCCTTGGGCTGAGGGTGGGAGATTTGAAGAGAACTAAGCCATGTTGACTGGCCGCAGGCATGGAGGAAAGATGAATGTGATAAAAAAAAAAATGTTGTTACATCTAATGCAGTAAGAGCTGAACTAGAGATGCTGTGGGAAGTCAGAAGAGGCTTTCAGGTTTAACTCTGCTAATGATGGTGGGGAGGAAACAATCAAGAAAACCTTGTGGATGAAGCGCTATTTCAGTGGAGGCTGGGAAGCTAAGCACTGTACAGTGCACAGTATCTTTGTGCGGCTGAGCCCTCTTTTAACTTTCAGCAAAGGAAGGGTGTCCCTATTAAGCAAGGCTACATGAAAAGAATCAGTCTACAAAATAGGCAACTGTCTTTCCCATCCTTTGTTATCATTGGGTCAACGTCATCCCCCATGAATTTTCAAAGTAGGAGGTCATGGTTTGTGCCCATTTCTGTAACAGCCTATGACCAAGAGCTCTCCTCAGGAGCAGCAGAGAGGCAAGGGAATAAAGGACGGTCCTGGGCTTCCACAAGAAGCAATCTCCTCCCCCAGAACCTTCTCTATAATAGCACCTCTGATATCCAAAGGATTCGTGGCTCTATCGCCAATCATGTTTGAGTTTATTTAGTGATTTGTGGTGATTTTCACATGTATTGGTAATGGAGACCTGGACATCATAGTAGGAGTTTAGAGTTCCGCATCTGTCTGAGTCACTGTCCCCCAACTCTACTAAGCACACCTCTTCTTGGTGGTGGGGGGAGCAGCCAAGACCATGTCTTCATTTTCCACCATGCCACCATCTTCACCCAGGCATTGATACATTTTATTCACTTATCTTTGTTCTTCTCTTCTTTCCTCATACCAGGTTTGAGTCCACTTCCTTGTCCTAGTAGAAACCACTTAGTATTTCAAGATTTTATACAATGACAGAGAACTTAATGCTAAATTTGTAAGTTGGTGGCAAAGGGGTCTGCTCATGAGAGAATCAAGGTCCCCTAGAGATGGAGATTCTTCAACAAATGTCATTTCCCCATTCAAGTCTGGTCTTGAGTAGATGTGAAATGGAGTCACCTCTAAGGGAAGCCAGAAGGAACAAACGTTTACAAATATTGCTTAGAATATTCACGTCATGGGTACCTGGAATTCCCACCATTAATTACCTACTTGAATGAAGGCAGCGCCTCTCAACCCTGACTGCACACTGAAATTACCAGGGAAAGTTAAAAAACTGCGAATGTCTAAATCTCAGCCCAAGGGGTTCCTATACTTGAGTAGGAGTGAGACTGGACACTGGTATTGTCCAAGCTCCCCAGGTGATTCTAACATGCCAGAGTTGAGAATCCTTTGGATTAAGGCACTATATTCCCAGAGATTCCTAGTAACTTATCTCTTATCTGGATGAGCACACATTAAGCTCTCATTACTTTTCCATGGCTTAGATTTTACAGGCAGCAGAAAGAAGATTCCTGGGGATTGGAGGTGGGGGTGAGGCATAGAGAAAATAAATTCTGTTAGGAAAACGAGTGCAGATGAAAGTCAGATTTGTGTTGAAAGCACTGAGAGAGATTTTGAAAAGTCAGGTGCGAAATAAAGAAGCGGGTATCTCTGAAAAGGTTATTGAAAGCAAAGAGAAAAATGAATTCAAACATCAATAGTCTACCTAGGCCTGACCCTATTTTGACTATCTTTCCTCCTCCTTTCAAATAGTCCCTTTTATTTCTGTGTTTCTAATGCAGGAGAGAACATCATGTGCCAAGATCCCATAATAGGTGTTGGGGAGCCTGGGAAAGTCATCCAGAAACTGTGCCAGTTCTCAAATGTTCCCAGCAGCCCTGGAGGGCCCACTGGCGGGATCGTGACGTACAAATGTGTAGGCTCCCAGTGGAAAGTGAAGAAGAATGGCTGCATCTCTGCCCCAATAAATAATTTGCTCCAGCTGGCCAAGGTGATCCTTAAATCTTTGACTCTGAGAGCTCTTGTTGGGGAGATCTTTCTAGCTTATCATATTTCTTAGCAAATGGGCCTTGGGCTGGTTTGTGTTGCTCCCAAAGCTACTTCTATTTGTTTATTTCCAAAGAAGATGCAAACCTAAAAATGCTTTACATTTTTCTTACATACAAATATGGAGATAACAAAACACGTATTCTGCTCTAGGACCAGCTGTATACCTTGACTTCTAGGTACCTTGTTTCTGTTACCTCCAAGGTGCAGGTAGAATTATCCTCTCTTAACATTCTCCTTTGAATAATCTTGTTATCAAGCAAGTAACTCTAATCTTTTCAGAAAGAGGAGAAACATAAAAAATAAGGTTCATTGGTGCAAAAAATATATATACTTGGGCTTTATGCTTTTACAGGTCTGAGATTTCCTCAATCTTTAGAGATAACCCTATAGTAATGGAAGATGGAACTAGCCTGCCTCTCTTACCTAGAAGAGGTTATTGCCATGGAAAAATTCCTTTCTTTTCATCAAAATAAATGTTACTTCATACTGAAGTTGCTGAGAGTAGAGACTCCTAAAATGCTGTGAATTACAATAAATAAATATTGATGAGACAACTAGTGGAGTTATACTTAGTGGTTATAATTAATGACACCATTAGCCAACTGATTCCAAACGCTCTCCACCCTTGGAAGAAGAATTAAAGAAAAGGGGTAATATTGGTTTGTGTCTCACTCATCTGATTATCTTACTGTCTCTTCTCTTGTCTTACACTAAATTCATTAAAATACCTACTAGGTGCAAAGCATTATTGTAGGTGCTATCAGGGTAAAGAAACCAAATCAGAATTTGGTCTCTGATTTGCTAGAGATCATAATCCAGTTGGGTCATTATATATACATTAATTTTGCTTAGGATAATCAGGAAAGGTCTGCTGGAAAAACTTGGCATCTGAGTTGGGCCCTGATGAAGGATACATCAGTGATATCAATTTTCCGACTCAAGAAAGATGGAAATATTATAATTTGAACTCCTTGTTGGGCCCTGGTCCCAATTCTAGATACCTAGATACATTTTCAGTGGAAAAGGGGCATGTTGGTCTATCATGCTCCATTCGCTTTACACATTCAATATATATTTATTGAATACCTACTCTGTGCCAATTTACATGGCTTATACTATGGGAGGCATTATAGGATATCAGAAGGAATAGAACACACTTGATATTATTAAGAAGCTTATAATTTAATTGGAGAGATATTGAAATTAAAACACACGATGACATCAGTAGAAATGTCACATGTGTAAAGTATGTTAAATAACAAACACTTATGCATTCAGAGGAAGAAACTCCCCTAGGTTGGAATACTCATCAAAGTTCTTTATGGAGGAGATCAAATTTGAATTCTTCAATCATAAGTAGTTTAATTAACTACATAATTATAATACACGTAGTTAGATAATTAGAAAACAAAAGTGTGATCATTATAGATAGGGTGACCATATAATTTATCATCCAAACCAGGACACATTTTGAAAATAAAAGAGGGCACAGGTAACCATTACACTGAGACAGCAGATATAAAGCAGAACTGTCCCTGGAAAATTGGGATGGACAGTCACCCCTGAAATTGGTCAGCAAGGTAAGTGATGAAAAAAAGCAGAGTGGCAAAGTGGCTTCCACCCAGACCACTAAGTGACGAGTTACTCAACTTTAAACTAGTTCTCTAGCAATCACACATAGTCTCCTTTTTTAAAGAAACTAGTCATCAGATTAACATGCATTTTACTGCTTCCCTTCTATGTGTGAGGTCTTATGTAATATTCTAGTCTGAATAGCACACAGATTAAATTAAGAGATAAATAAGTTATCTTATAGGATATACTTCTAGGAATGGAGAAAAAAGGGAACCACGGATGTAAGAGATTTTCATCATGGATAGATCAGCAGGATTTGATGACCGGACCAACTGGCAAGTTTTTTGTTTGTTTGTGTTGGCTTTTGTTTTACTAGGCTTTGATCAAGAGCCCTTATCAGGACAAGAAGCTCCCAACATACCTAAAGGATCTTTCTATTAGCACAGGCAAGGTGAAACACGAAGTCAGCTCATTTCCTGGGAGCCTGGGAGCCATCATTAATATCCTTGATTTGCTGTCAACGGTTCCAACCCAAGTGAATTCAGAAATGATGACGGTGAGTTTGTTTAGGGCCTTACAGGAGCTTTGGGTCTCATCTTTTCACCCCTTGGGACTTGTAGTCAAGAAACACACTCCCCCCTCCCCCATTGCAGCCCCTTTTTTGTCTTCTCCAGAGCAATACTCTGTGCTTTAGGGTCAGGTAGCATGCTTTGTCAGCTATGGCTGTTAGGGTCACAGGGAGTGTTTCTAGTATTCATTTTGGCTCTTAAAAGATTTCTTTAGTGAATCTCCATCTTAGTTTCTTCATTAAAATAGAATGAATTCTTATCTGCTTCCTAATTAAAGGTTTTCAGGCTAGGTACGAGGTGGGATTTTCAATGGTCTAGCACTAAACATGAACTTTGAAGCAATCAAGGTTCTGAGAGGAAAGGAAATTCACCCAGGACTCAAGTGAAGAGTTCAAATGAAGAGACTTTAATGAAAAAAATACTTACAGAGGTAAAGCCGGGGAAACAAAAAGAAAAGAATAGAAGCCAGTACTATCCTGAGGGCCAAAGGAGAAAGGAGAGGAAAGAGCGTAGCTACAGCAGAGGGAGAACTAAGCCTTGAAGGAGGGATCAGTAGCTGTAGCAACAGAACTAGCACCACAGATGTGTTGAGGACAGTATGTGTGTGTAGGGGCGAGGCTGTGAATGTGGTGGGTAGTAAGAAAATATATTTCAGCTTCTTTCTTCTCCCTCCTTCCCATCTGCCAATGCTTCCCACTGTGCAACTCAGCCAGGCGCATCTGGAAAGCAGCTTGGGTAACAAAGGTCCAAGGAGGTTACGTGGTCCTGGGGCTACTGTTGGGAATTGCCACAAACTGGATGGCTTACCATGACAGGAGCTTATTCTCTCATAGATCTCAAAACTAGAAGTCTGAAATCAAGGTGTCTGTCAGACCATATTCTTTCCGAAGTCTCCAGGAGAGAGTCTATCCCTGCCTCTTACAGCTCCATCTAGTTCCAGCATTCTTTGGCTTGCAGCTGCTCCATTTCACCCTCCGACTTTGTCTTCAGATGGCCTTCTCCTCTTCTCTATGTATTTTCTTCTCTTCTGTCTCTCAAAAGGATACTTGACACTGGAGTTGGGGCCCACCTAGCTAATCTGGGATGTATTCCTTTCAAGGTCCTTAACTCAATTACATCTATGAAGACCCTTTCCCCAAAGAAGGTCACATTCACAGAGTCTGGGTCTCAGGACATATTATTTGGGGGTGCCACCATTCAATGAACTACGGGGCTCATAGTTTTGGATTGAACAGAACAAGGCAAAGAAGGGCAAAGAAATTATATTGAGAGAAAGCACAAATGGAAAGTGACAAGCCCAAGTTTATGGAAGAGAAAATCAAAATGTTTAGCAAGAAAAAAATGATGCCTTTGCCAACAACTTGGTGCTTGGCAACTACTTTGCCCTTGTGGTCAACGATCACCTTTTACAGGCTTGAGATTTAAAGTAAAATAAAACCATTAATAAATCTCTACCAGCCTGCTGAATTGGCCTTAGTGGGTGTGTGGGGGAGGGTGGGGTGATTCTTGGTAAATATTTAACAAAGTATCATAGCCTTGGGGATACATCCTCTGTTAACTCCCTGCTGTAGAAGGTGGGCCACAGATCCCCACAGCTTGTGGTGCCTCATTTTTCCCTTTTCCTTCCCTCTTACCTGTACCCATGCAACCAGTTTCCAGGGAGATGTTCTTTTTTCTCTCTTGTATGATTGAAAGAATTGGATTGGTTTGACTTCATGCCATGTCAATTACAGCACGTTCTCTCTACGGTTAACACCATCCTCAGCAAGCCCATCTTGAGTACCTGGAAGGCATTACAACAGCAACAGACCAACCAGAGCTCACAGCTCCTGGACTCAGTAGAACGATTTTCCCGAGCATTACGGCCGGAAGATAACACTTTTCTGTCCATCAACCAAACTAATGTGCAGATGAGGAGCATGGTAATAAAACCTGGCCATCCAAAAGCCTACAAACAGAGCTTTGTTTTCGCAGACTCAGACCTGTGGGGCAATGTGGCCATTGAAAACTGCCAATTGGGAAGTTTGCAGGAAGATTCATCTATTGTCACCGTGGCTTTTCCAACTCTCAAAACCATCCTCGCCCAGGATGTCCAAGGAAAGAATTTTGCAAACAGCTTAGTGATGACCACCACTGTCAGCCACAACATAACCATGCCATTCAGTGTTTCAATGACTTTTAAGAACACCAACCCTTCAGGTGTGATACCACGATGTGTCTTCTGGAATTTCAACCTCGCCAACCACACAGGGGGGTGGGATAGTAGTGGGTGCTATGTGAACAAATTTGATGAGGACAGTGTCTCCTGCATCTGTGACCACCTAACATCATTCTCCATCCTCATGTCCCCCGACTCTCCATATCCTGGTTCTCTCCTGGAAATACTCCTGAATATCATTTCCTATATTGGGTTGTGCTTTTCCATCTTGAGCCTAGCCGCCTGTCTGATCGTGGAAGCCGTGGTGTGGAAATCAGTGACCAAGAATCGGACTTCCTATATGCGTCACATCTGCATAGTGAACATTGCTGCCTCCCTTCTGGTTGCCGACATCTGGTTCATCGTGGCCACTACCATTCATGATCTTTATCACCCATTCAATGAGACAGCCTGTGTGGCCGCCACCTTCTTCATCCACTTCTTCTACCTCAGCGTCTTTTTCTGGATGCTGACTCTGGGCCTCATGCTCTTCTACCGCCTGGTTTTCATCCTGCATGACACAAGCAAGTCCATTCAGAAGGCTGTTGCATTTTCTCTTGGCTATGGCTGCCCTCTTGTCATCTCAGTCATCACAGTTGGGGCCACCCAGCCCCAAGAAGTCTACACAAGGAAGAATGCCTGCTGGCTCAACTGGGAGGATACCAAGGCCCTGCTGGCCTTCGTCATCCCAGCACTGATCATCGTGGTGGTGAACATGACCATCACGGTTGTGGTCATCTCCAAGATCCTGAGACCTTCCATTGGAGACAAGCCAAGCAAGCAAGAGAGGAGTAGTCTGTTTCAGATCAGCAAGAGCATTGTGGTCCTCACACCACTCTTGGGGCTCACCTGGGGTTTTGGTCTTGCCACTGTGTTCCAAGGAAGCAATGCTGTGTTCCATATTATATTTACCCTCCTCAATGCCTTTCAGGTAAGCTCCACAGTACAGGGCTCTCAGGAAGTTCCTATATTGGTGGGACAAATTAATGATAGAAACACAAACAGGGGTAGGAATGGGGAAGGATTTCAGTTCAGAGAAAGCCCTAGCCCTAAAGAGCAGTAATTACAAGCACTCAGTAACATAGAAGGGACACATTACTCAGCTCCCATAGAGCCTCATACCTCTTATCACTGGTATTATAATTTAGTTGCATGCATGGCTCTCTTTGAAAAGCCCTGATAATACACGTAAGAGGGAAGTCCCTTCCCTACACAGGATTTTGCTATTTATCCAGCATTATCATGATGCCATCCATTATCTCCTAATTGAAAATACCGCTATTAAGCCAAGTAGTCTCTCCAGTTAAATTTCTACAAGAATTAAATGAGCTCTATCTTTGTGGGGCCAGGGATAGCATCTGGCTTATTTATCACTAAATCCCTAGTACTACCTAAAAAAGACCTTGACCCAGAGTAGGGGCTTGATAACCATCTGCTAAATAAAATGAATGCTATGTACCACATAGTCTGTTCTCTAGAAACATTTGCTGAAGAAGGATGAATGAAGGCCCTATGTAAGGTAGACATTCTGCTCTACTATACTAAAATGAAAAAGAAACACTCTTGGGGTGCCTGGGTGGCTCAGTCCGTTAAGCGTCCAACTCTTGGTTTTGGCTCAGGTCGTAACCTCACGGTTTTGTGAGTTTGAGGCCCATGTCGGGCTCTACACTGACAGTACAGAGCCTGCTTGGGATTCTCTGCCTCCCTGTCTCTCTGCCCTTGCCCCACTCATGCTGTCTCTGCCTCTCTCAAAATAAATAAACTTTAAACTAAGACACACTTTTTGCTCTCCTGTAGCACATAAATAACTATAATATAAGTCCAATTGTTAGAAGAACTTTAGCAGAGGTACAGACAGCAAGTCTTTGGAGCACAAGGAAGGGAATTCTTAATTCTGATTCAACCAGTGGGTGGATGGTGAGGAAGCAGTGGTCTGGAGGTGAAATTGAGACATTGCCCCCGACGCTCATGCCAAATTCCAACTTCTGCTAGGCCCATGGCCTGAAACTATATGGCTCATGTCTAATGAAGTTTATAGTATGGCTTGACTACAAGGGACTGATTATTTCAGCCCATGCCCCAGCTCTTCATCACAACTATGTGAGCACTATTGGAGACATAAGAGATGTACTTAATAGCATAACCAATAGGACCTCCAGTTCAAAAACAGGGATAAGGAAATAGAAGGATATCCTTATAACATTAGAACATTTAAGGTCTCTTGGTGTGGCCCTACTTCATCCTTTTTAACATTATTATCTACTAGACCCATTCCATAAATACAGATGTGGAAAGGCATAGTACAAATTCAATGCCAAGTTAACAATACTTCCTATTTTGCTGGACAATAGAATATGATTAAAATCATATTAAATCATAATCATAATTTTAAATCATAAAATTAAAATGTACTTCCGCCCAATTTTTTTCAGGGGCTATTCATTTTACTCTTTGGGTGCCTGTGGGATCAGAAGGTAAGAACAATCACAGTTTCATGCTCCCAGAAAAGTCCGAAGTGTTTGTGGCATGTTGAACTTATGAGGGCTTCCTTTAAACAATTGCAGGTGCAGGAAGTCTTGCTGAAGAAGTTTTCACTGTCAAGATGGTCCTCTCAGCACTCAAAGGTAAGCATTTCCTTTGTAGAGACCGTGGCAAAGCCTTCCCTCTCCACACCCTGGTTCACCATAGATTATTCCACTGTTTTGCTTCTCACCTGATTCTGCCTATTAAAGTTAGCCACCAAACTATCAATCACTAAGATGCTGTCCTACATCTTTAAGTAGGGGTCAAGTAGCACAGATAATATCAACTGGAGGTCAAAAATCAACATTCAGTGAGAAACAAGAAACCTTCTGGGGAAATTTAAGACAATAAAGAACACAGTGTGAGGAATAATGCATAGATTTTTGGTAGTTCATTCTGGAAAATAACAATCGCACTCAAATATAGTTGACTGTTTTCACATGTCAGAAAATACTAAACCTTACCGAACAGAAGAACATGTATTTGAAAGTTACTTTCCTAATTCTGATGAGAGCCTGGTGTTTTAAGGTGGCTCTCCTACCTGATTTGTTTGAAGTAGAAATTTATGCTCTTCTAGGCTCTCACTTCTCAAGTGGAATGAGAGATGCAGGTAGTGACCACTAGAGAACAGCAAACAAATCATCCTAGAGATCAAAACAGGGCTTTGGTTTAACATTTGCTTGGTAATTGTCTTCTTTCTCTTTTTCAGTCAACATCCCTCAGTTCATCTACACCAGTATTTTCTATGAGTTCTCCAATATCAAGAAGATTTAACAATCTGTTTGGTAAAACAGGTACGTAGTGACCTCTAGGTCACTCCTTGGAGTGTAGTTTGGGCTGACCCAAACAAATTTGCCCCAATGTGGAGTCTCACACCCCCTACTTTCCCAGTTTATGGCATTTACAATAGCCTCATTTGGGACACAGGTTAAATGCAGGAACTTGCTTATATTTTCCCAAACCACCAGCAGGTTGTAGAGAGAGCAACTGCCTTCAGTGGGCAACTCATAATAACTTAAAAAGGATAAGAATCTGGACAAGCTGTGGAGAACTGTCTGTCAAAACTGTATCAACCACAAAAGTGGGAACTGTAAATTGCTGGCCTTGTCAAATTCAGAGTCTACTGCTATTCATGTTAAATAAGAATAGGCAGTCATCTTTATGGGTTAAGGTACGGCAAAAGAATATATTTAGAAAATCTATGATACAATCACATGCCATGGGTTTCTTTCCCTTTTCTTTTTCTTTTTTTGGGGGGAGTGTGCTTGTTTTACGTATGGGCATTTATAAAACAGTGCATGCATATAGGAGTCACCGAAGTTAGCTAATGTATTAGGAACATGCACAGTTAAATTGCTACCTTGGAGGTATAAAAATAATGTTAATGACTTTGGGCAATGGGTCTCAGCTAGTCTGGCAAGTTGAAACCTCTGCCCACTATGCCCCCAACCCCAAGAAAATAAGCACCAGAACTCCTGCCAGCTTCTGGAAACTGAACAGATCAAACAAGTGCAGAATCTAGAAATATGTCATCATTCCAGACTAAGGCTTTGCCTATAAAGTCAATAAAATCAATTTTGAGAATGCCTACCATTTGTTAAAATTCCAGAGGACTTGGTGCTTTTGGCTTTGATTTGATGCATTACTCATGAGATTGGAGGGCCTTCGCTTTTGATTCTGAAAGTCCTTGAGGGCAACTGCTGTGAAATTATCAAATCTTCAGGGTCTAGTACAACCACTGCACTTGGCCAGCCCCGCACTGGAACATGTTGACCATTCACATTCAGGTTACAACTGCGAAATGATTCTACAGAGTCAGAATTACACAATATGTAAGGCCAATAAAATGTGTTCTTTGCTATTGAATCAGTCAGATCAACGGTGGAGTTAGGGCTCTGTTCCTGAGGTCCCACAGCCTGAGATTTCCAGCCACTGCCATTCGATGACCTCTCAAAGGTCATTAATGTTGGCCTATGTGAGGGTCCCCTAATCACTGTAACTTTGGTTTATGTTGTCAGCAGCCCCACAGGGCCCCCCAAGCAGTGATGGCAACCTTGTTAGCAGCGGCAGCTCACCAATCTGATGGTAGGGTGGGCACCGTGTCCCTTCCTTGCCCAACACCACCCCCACTCGCCCTGTGCTCAGTCCCCTCCTCCTGCTGGCGCCAGCCCTTGTGGTTGCTCCGTGGCTGCCCCCTCAGCTGCACTTTGGTTGGCATCCCCTGACGTCTGCTTCTTTTCCAGTCCTGTCTTTTCTTCCCTTGGAATTTCTCCTTTCTTTCCTGTTTCCCCTTCCCCCACCCCCCTCACCTTCCAGCTCATCCTCCGGGTCTCTCCTAAGAGCTTCCCAAATCACTCCAATCCCAGGGGACCAGGGAGGTCCCCTCACACAGATGTCCCCAGGCCTGTGCATGTGGTGGCATGTGGAGGGCTGCCCGTGTTCATACCTCCCTGTCCTTTGTAGAAATCTGGCTGCTGGTTTGATGTGAAGTAGTTAGTGCTTGTCTTGTGGGCTGCCGCGCATGCTTGAGAACAACAGCTTTGTTCTCCGGCACTTCCGGGTCCGTCCGGGGAGGAGGGCAGGCATGGGTGTGTTTCCAGGCATGGCCGAGCTTACCTGGCTCTTGGGTTAGAGATCCCGTTGGGCCATCAGGAGAGGATTCAGTGGTCTTGAAGTCTTATCCTTAAGGCTGAACTGCTGCTCTGTTTTTCAGGAACATACAATGTTTCCACCCCAGAAACAACCAGCTCATCCCTGGAAAATACATCCAGTGCTTACTCGTTGCTCAACTAACAACAGGAAAATCACTGCAAATGACTTCTTAAAGGACAGCGGATGCGCTCTGAAGAAAAACAAAACAAAACAAAACACACCTCCTTCCAAAGCCATGGGTAAACTGTTTTCTCCACAGGCTTCTTCCTGGAGCAGATGCTGAAGAGACTTTTTCATTGGGGAAGAAGCTTTCTTTCGTAAAGACAGACTAAAAGTCATTGTTAAGTTTATTTGCTGCCCCACCCCCACCTCTTGTGTGATACTAAATGTGTATAGTATTTAAGTGAAATCCAAGTCCCTCAAGGGCCAATTTCCCTGTCTGTATTGTAAAATAGAATTTCAAAGAGACATTTTTCCTTTTCACATGCTGGGCACAAAAATAAGCTTTGATTAAAATAATAACTACAAGGCTAGTACCTAGGAAATACTTCAGTGTATTCTAAGAAGGAAGGAAGGAAGGAAGGAAGGAAGGAAGGAAGGAAGGAAGGAAGGAAGGAAGGAAGGAAGGAAGCAGGAAAAAAGAAAAATATAGAGAAAAACACTAAAAACTGCATTAATTCCATGTTAATGTAATTATTCAGACACTGCCACATGGAGATTACAAAAAATGGCTCAAAATGGAAACTGAAATAAGCCATGGGGAAAGTTTGGTATCTTTCTGGTATTTTCTTAGCTATGAGGGAGGGAGAGAGAGAGAGAGAGAGAGAGAGGAAGAGGGAGAGAGAGAGAGGGACAGTGGGAAAAGATAGGGAGAAAATTGTAATATCAAGATGCTTTCAAGTGGATAATAATATTTGTAAGAAATGCATGGAAGGAGACTTAATTCTCCTGATGCTAAATACACGCACACAGATGCTATTAGTGCATGGTAAGGTTTGAGCTCAGTGGACTGAGGAGGCAGAGGAAGTGTGATTGAGACTCTTTATCAGATCCCAGGAGATCCAACTGCTAATTACATCTGCAGTTTATCAGAAAAGCCTTACACTTTTTGAAGGCAGAAAATATATATTTTTATATCCATCACTTGCCAAATGTGATGTATTGTGATATAAGTGTGATATATTGCACTGAAAACAGATCCCAACTGTCATATACTATATTTAACAGCTTTAACCAGGTACTTCTCTGGGCATCATAGGATAGATTTTAATAATCTTATGGCATGGTTTATTCTTCTTGTTGTTGCTACCGTGGATTTCGTGGCTCTTGGTGTGTTGTATAGCTCCCTATATATTAGCCCTTACAGTGCTTCAGTTCCAAGACCAATATATGTTAAGAGTTTTGTATTGTCTAACTTGTGTTTATTCCGACCACTTGGAAATCTTCTGGAAAGAAATTTTACAGCTGGCTTAGTCGATGTTTCTAAGGACACTTTACCTCGATGAGCAGATGGTGGAGCTTTTCCCAAGGAAGTGATTGTCTATGAATTATGTGCATGTGTGTGTTGCTTGTGGGGTGTGCATTTCTTAAAAGTACATATATTTATTAAAATCACATCCATATTAAAGTTGACCGTGTGCCGTAGCCACAGCAACCATACAATTCCAAAGTGAAGTCTGATCCCAGAGAGGCAGTGAAACAGAATAAAAATGTGAGGCCACTCGGGAAATGTGGGCTGTGTGGTCTTCATGAGGACTTAGAACCAAAACAGGCCTAACCATTAGGAAGGTAGGAACCAAGAGGCTGTGACGCAGAAACCATTTATTTATTGAGTTCCAGAAGAGTTTTCTTTTAATGAACTCTTTGACATCCCTTCTTTTTATTTGTAATTTTAAATTCCCCTTCTGCCCCTCTTTTCTCCAGGGGGAGAAGGAGGTGGGACAGATGGGAGTCCCAATCATGTTTCAAGTAAATGAGCTCTTCGTTTCTACATGTCCACCAGTGGTGTGGACCTCTACCCCTATGCTTGCCTGGAAATGGTCACAAAGGAAGTGATTCCGCTATAAAATTCTCCAGGAATGGTCAACTTTGCGCAGAGCTCAGTACTGAGGAGACAGAGCTGGAGGCTGGGTTGGAGGATCAATGGAATGAGAATCCAAGATTGTAATGGCTTTACCAGGCTAGTTCCTGTAGTGATGACAGAGTTAATGGAGGCTTGATTATATAGTACACTATGTGAGCACGGCCATCGGGACAAGATCAGCCAAAGAAAGCATAGCACTCAGGAGGCATTCAAAAACACAATGGGACAAGAAACACTGAACTTCCACCCACTTCAGCAGGGAGTCCCTTGGGAATCATTGTGTTTGTGAGGGTAGCCTCCATAACGGCAGGAACCTTTGCAGATTCCATAGGATGTGGCTTTGGCCCTTTGCCCACATGCATTAACTGAGGCACGTTCCCTTACCCCCAACACGCACATGTGTGCGTGCGTGCACTTTCCACCTTTCAAGCCACAATTCCAGATCCAAATTCCAGAAAAGCTATGAAAAAAAAAAAATAGAGATATACTTGCTGGTTTTCCACTCAACTGCAAGATACGTAATTCAACCACAGCTGTTGGCCAAGATTATCCTAAAACAAACAATAGAATTCAAAATTGTAAAAGAGAGCAGTCCGTGAAGCCGGAAGTTCTGGGAAAGCTGGAGCCCCACCTGGCCCTGCGTTCACTAGTTTTCAAAGAGCACGGATTGCAAGACTTTTAGCAGCAGATTTCTGAGGACGAGGAAGATGGAATGTCAGCTCTGATGGTGTGAAGTGAGATGTGTGGTCCACATCGCCTCCCCATGTTCCTGACCTCCCTCAGTGGGCAAGGTCTGTTCCATAGGCCAGAACTTTCTTGCACTAAAGGGCCTTCTATCAAGTCAGTTTCTTGCAAAGGGATCTGTGCTAATACTTCAGAGGTTGTGACGTTAGAGCAGTCACAAATAGCAATCAGGGGCACCTGGGTGGCTTAGCTGGTGAAGCGTCTAACTCAGGTCACCGTCTCACAATTTGTGAGATGGAGCCCAGATCACAGTGTGAGGCTCCCTTGGGATTCCCTCCCTCCCTCTCCCCTGTGCACTCATGCTTTCCCTCTCTAAACAAACAAACAAACAAACCCTTAAAAAAAGGAAAGAAACACTGGGAAGTAATAGCTTTTTGTGGTTTGTGTAGAGAATGTCAGCGAGATTAGTGTTGGAAGGCTAAAGGAAGATCACAGTGCCCAGTAAGTGCAGACGCAAAGGAAGGAGTTACTCTGAGGTGAGAGGAACAGAAAGCCACAACCATTTGAGGGGACAAAAGGAAACAAGTATAGTCACAGAAATCCCATATAGGTGGAATGCCTTTTATTTGTAGCATGTGAAGTCGATGTCAAAGCACACTCTGCATCCCAAAGAGAGTCGGTGACCCAGGCCAGGGGAAGGTTGATTCCCTGAGTGTCTAAAATGAAGGAGGGGCTTACAATGGAGATTCATCTTTCTTGTGTATTTTTTTAAAAGCCCATGAAAATCATGTCTCATCATTTGAAAACTGTTAGCTCTGAAATGAGATGCTATAGGTTTCTAATATTATGACTTGGGCTATTAAATCGCATCATAATAGTGTGTCGGCATATGCTGTGTGTCCTTCCCATGCTTATAACAGGAAAATCTCCAGCGAGGTCTCATGAAACTCTCTTTATATAAATCATCTGCTCTTTCGCAATAGGCCAGCGCTGCTGTTTCAGGCTTCCCCACCAGAAATCCAAGCAGAGTTTAACTCTATTCTCCAGACACTGAATGATTATTTCCATTCTCCAGGCTTGGGGGTAGGGGGTTCCCAGAAGCTGCCAACTGAGCTCAGTTGGCTCACAGCGCTGGCGTCTTCCCTCACACCAGCCACACCCTCACAAAGTGTGTGAAGGCCAGAGGCTGACAGAGGGCTCAAGCAAGGGACCTTGAAGTAAAGCTTTCAGAACCTACCTGTCTGGGAGACAAATAAACAAATATATCTACTCTAACAGTTGTGTGTGGCTTGGTTGGAATTTTCACGAACAGTTGAAAACAGTTGAATACAGCATATGTCCTGTATTAATATTTCCTTATGCTGTAATGTGTGGCCACAAACTTGGAGGCTTAAAACAGCACTCGCCTTACTATCACACGGTTTCTGTGGGTCAGAAGTCCGGGCATGGCTTATCTAGGTCCTCTGTCTAGGCTGACCTCAAATTGTCACCCAGGGCAGTTGGTGGATTCTTCTGAAAGTTGGGTCCCTCCACCAAGCTCATTGGTTATTTGGTGAAATTCATTCTTCATAGTTCTAGGATTGAGGCCCTCAGCGTCTAGAGGTGCCCGCCATTCCCTGCCATGTGGCCTTCTCCACAACATGGTCGTTTGCTTCTTTAACGTCAACAGGAGAACTGCTTTGAATCTTTCTGACTTCTTCAGTTCTGATCCTAAACCCGCTTTTAAAGGACTCACCTGATTAGGTCAGGCCCATCCAAGATAATCACCCTGGTGATTAACTCAGAGTTAGGTGATTAGAGGCCTTGATCACAGCTGCAAGATTCCTTCGCCTTTGCCATATCATGGAATCTACTCGTGGGAGGGATATCATATTTACGGGTCCTGCTCACAGTTAATGGGGGAGATATTTCATCAGACTGTTTAAACAAACAAACAGCATTAAGGACCCAACACTACTGTATACATTCTTTGTGAGGCATTAGCTGTGGATATGTGACCTGAAAAATGTTTCTTTATCGATAGCAGTAATCACACTTAAAGGGTCTCTCTGGCAGTGTCAAAAGTAAAGTTCTTGTGATTCAAATATTTCAATGCCAGGGTGCCTGGGTCGCTCAGTCAGTTGAGCATCTGACCTCGGCTCAGGTCATGATCTCAGAGTTCGTGAGTTCGAGCCCTGTGTCTGGCTCTGTGTTGACCGAGCGGAGCCTGGAGCCTGCTTCAGGTTCTGTCTCTCCCTGTCTCTGCCCCTCCCCTACTCATGCTCACTCTCTCTCTCTCTTAAAAATAAACATAATTTTTTTAAACAAAATCAAAATAAAGACGAAGTGCTCCTCCTGTGCTGGGCACTTTCTCATCCTTCAAGGCTCCCCATGAAGTGCTGACACTGGCAGCCTGTGGTTCACGCCAGGACTGGGAACCTCTTGCCTTCCAGAAACCCACAGATCTCTCATATGCTCGTATGGGTCACAGCACCTTGTCTGGAGTGTTCTGCTTCTTTGCACTGAGTTTTTTCCTTTGTAAGATAACATGTACATCATTCAGAAGGAAGATGTTTATTGTGTGTTTTGAAGACTCCCCCACCCCCCAGCTCTACGAAGTTTATGCTTTCTTCATGTAAACAGGAAGAAGAGGAAGCTTCCAATGACTACTTCATGTGAACTAGAGCGCAGCTTCCTTTGAAATCTTCAGTAGCACCTCATAAGCTGCATCGTCTAGAGCAGCCATAACATGACTATTTTACATTTTTAGTAGCCCCATTACAAAAAAGGAAACAGGTAAAATTTATTGCAGTAATACTGTAACGTAACTGACTGTATCCGAGATGTTATCATTTCCAGATGTCATTAATGTGAATGTGTTAATGAGACATTTTACATTCCTTTCTCTCTTTTTTGTACTGCGTGCTGGAATTCCGGTGTGTACTCCACACTGACCTAACAGCTCGGCTGCACAGCCACACTTCGAGTGGCCGATAGCCACACATCTCTAGAGGCTACTGCATTAGACAACACAGCTTTAGAGTATAAAGCGGAGACAAAGGCTTCCTGCCATTCTGCCTTGTGCATGCTGACAGCGGGGTAGGAGAATGAATTTAACGAAGGCTTGTACCACATCATCCGTGCTGGTCTATGCAGAGACCCTGCACATATTGGGTCAGGGGGGAGGGGGGAGAAATCCGTAAGGCCCTAAACACCTCGCTTCCATATAACCCCTACCCCTCCAAGCTGGCCTGAATGCCACACCGTTCACAACTCTCCTCCGAGATTTGCAACAAGCATGGGGCATTTGTCTCAGAAAATCATAGTTCAGGGGTGCCTGGGTGGCTCAGACCATTAAGTGCCTGACTCTAGATTTGGGCTCAGGTCATGATCTCATGGATCCTGAGTTCAAGCCCCGGGTCAGGCTCCACACTGACAGCATGGAGCCTGCTTGGGATTCACTCACTCTCTCCCTCTCTCTCTACACTTCCCCACCCCTTCTCTCAAAATAAACAAATAAACTTTTAAAAAAATCACAGTTGCATGTCTTCCTCAGGAAGGAGGAAGGGTCTGGAATCTCCATCAGCCTTCTTTCTCAAAGAATGAGCTTGCCGTCTCATCAGTATGGTGTAGCAGAAAGAACATGGCTTCTTGAACAGAATCAC